CCACCACCCCCACCACCACCACTCCCCCCTGCACGACCCTCTGGATCTGGACGACACCTCGGAGCTGCTGGACTTCATCAAGGACATGCCAGACGTGGCGCCCGCGCTGGGAGGCGGCGGCGGCGGCGCCCGCGGCGGCGCCGGCATGTTCAAGTCTCGCTCCATGGGCAACCTCATGGACCTGTCGGGTGGGTGGGGCTAGGGGTGGGGCTGAGGTGTGGGGGGTGGGCGCTGGGGGGTGGGCCTGTGCCCGGGGGGCATGTGTCTGGGGCCGGGGGGGGGGGCGGGGCAGCGGGAGGGGTACCGGGGGCACGCGCCTGGGCGGCCGCGCGCCTCTCGCCTGCAGCATCGTCATCACCACTATGCATGTGAAAGCCATGGCCACGTGCCGCCTTCCCCGCTCAACAACAAGCACGCGTCCCTCTGGGCTCTCCCACACAAGCACGCGTTGCTCGTCCCTCCCTCCCGCCCGCCGTACCGCCGTACCGCAGCCCCCTTCTTTGACGAGGAGGACGAGGCGCTGGCTGCCATGGAGTACGTGCGCCCCCGCAAGATGAGCAAGAGCATGTCGCTGACGCAGCTGGCGGCGCTGGAGAACAACGGCGGGGGAGGGGCGGGGGCGGGAGCGCAAGCGGGGAGGCCGCCGCGTGAGTCGCCAGCCCGCCTGCCCTGCTGCTCCTGGCGCCTGCCCCTGCCGCTCCTGGCACCTGCCCTCTGCTGCCTCTGGGCCGGGCGTGTGCGCCAGGCCTGTGTGGGTGGCTGGGTCGTGGCTGCGCCCCCAACCGCCGCCCCCCTGTGCCCTTCCTCCCCGCCTGCAGTGGCGCCCGCCGGCGGCAGCGGCAACCAGCAGCTAGGCCCGCTGGGCAAGCCCATCCGCCGCACCAACACCTTCAGGTGGGCAGCCGGCCGCTGGCCAGCCAGCAGGGCCGGCAGCCGGCGCCATGGTGGCACTTCGGTGCGGTAGGCGCAGGGCAGAGTGCTGTGTGGCTGCGTCGCGGCGCCGCCCCTCTGTGTGGCGCCCCCCGCTGACGAGCCACCCCGCTGACGAGCCACCCCACCCCCGCTGCCCCTGCCCTGCCGTGCGCCTGCAGCTCCAGCCTGGCGGTGCTTCAGGAGGCAGACCGCGAGGGCAGGGCGGCGGACGACCACCACCTGACGCACGGCGGCCTGAGCTCCCACCATTCCAGCGGCGGTGCGCTTCTCCACCTGCTGCCGCGCCCGCGCATGCGCCCGCGCCTGCGCCTGCCTCCTGCCCCGTGCGCCCCCAGGCGCAGCTGGGTGTTGTGCGCTGCCTGTGAAGGCGCGTGGCCTGCGCCCGCGGCGCCGCCTCCGCCCACGGCCCCCTCCTCCCGCCCCGCGCCCTCGCCTGCAGACGACTTGGTGCAGCGGCTGCTGGCGCCGCCCACCGGCAACGCCGAGGACGACGCCATGCTGTCGGAGCTGCTGGCCGCCAGCTGAGCTGGTGGCTGTGGGCGGCGGCCGGGCGTGAAGGCCGCGCCCTGCCTGCACACACCGCGAGCGAGAAAGCTGTACACGCCTCCGCACCGCCTCCCCATTCGTTGGCTCACCCCTGCATGCATGAATACAGCAGCCCTTTGTACAAATCCCCCTTTCGCAGTTTGCTGCCGGCGCCTGATTCCAGCCTGCAGCCGAGGCGCACCTTGCATCCCCTTCCCTTTCATACAAGTCTCGCTCTTTCCCTGTCTGCACCGTTTGGTGGCGGCAGCCCCCCTCTTCACCCCTGCATCCCGGCGCACATGCAGCCAAGTGCCCGCACGTGTGTGCACACGCTCTCCCTTGTCTTTGCCCTGCTGCCCACCCCTGTCTGCCGCACCCCGCTGTGCCGCCCCTCACCCCACTTTTGAGCCAGATGCCTGCCGCTGGTCCTGGCGGCGGCCGCCACGGCCAGCGGCACCCCATCGCGCAGCTGCCTGCCCTCCCTGCCCCGCCCGTCTTTCATTCACGCTGCGTCGCGTCACACACCAGATGCTTCCAATACTTGCCCTTACTGCCCCTCCCCCTCCCTGCATGCCCTGTTGGATCCCTGAGCAGCTCCGGTGAAGGGACGCCGGTTTTCACGCGTTGCTGCAATGCTACCCCACCCTGACTGACGCTTGATTGAGGGGCACCCAGGCGGGGCGACCGCGCACTGCCTGGGTGCCTCGGGCCTCGGGTCACTGTGACACCACGAGGCCCCATTGCCATCAATCGACAGGGCCGGTTACAGCGCTGGGGTGTCTGCCATCCAGGCAGCAGGGTGCTGGGCAGGGCTGGTGGAAGCAGCGAGGAGGAGCAGGGGGGACAGCTTGCAACAGGAAACAAACACAGCAAAGATTGGCCGCGGCTCCAGCAGGCTCCAGCCGCTTGCCTCAGTGGTGCGCCTTCTTGGCCGCCTTTGCTGCCTGGCTCTGCAGCAGCGCGAGGGCGGCGAGGGAGCTGGAAATGAGCAGGACGCCCAGCGGGCGCGGCAACCCGGTGCCACGGGCATGGTGGGGTGCAGCAGCTGAGTGCAGCAGGCGGCTTGCCTTGTAGTACGACATCTTGATGGAGCCGTACACCAGGCCCACGCCCACCGCCGAGAACCGCAGCACCTGCAGCAGCAGGAGGCGTGAGCGGCTGTCAGCAGCAGGCGTGGAGGGCGGTGCGCGGCCGACGTTGGTGGCTGTGACCTTGTGGCCTCCTCTCGCCCCCATCTTGCGCCCCGCACCTTGGCTAGCGTGCTTGTGCCAGAATAGGGGTTCATTTTGCTAGCGTTGCTGCGAGCGTTGCAGGGTTGCGGGCAGAGCTGCTGGCTGGCCGCTCTAGTCGCAAATTGCGATGCTGGACGGTCTGCCGGGTGTGATGGGGCCACAGGCGAGGCCGCGGTGCTGCCACAGACGCTGGTCTCCGCCGACGAGCGACCCTTACGAGGGAACCTGCCGGCTGCAGCTGTGAGCAGGGATCGGAGACTGGGTTCAGGCGATCAAGCGATCGGGCTCCAGCGCTGGCCTAAGACCTCGCCATCTCAACCGGCTGACTGGCCCCGACTGGTTTGATCGATGGCCTCGGTCAGGCCCCACTGACTGCCTCATCCAGCCAGGCATGCGTCCCGCCCGCATTCGGTGCTCATCCCCGCATGCATGCGTGCCTTGCGCTGCTTCTGGGGGGTCTCAGGCGTCGCGGGGACTCCTACCAGCACTGCCCAGCTCAGGCTTCCCCCTGCTCGGCGCATTGCGTGGCCTGGACAGCAGGCTGGGAGCAGGGGCAGCTGACTGAGTTGCCCAGCCTGCGCTGGCCAGCCTGCGAGCCAGCATGGTGCACTGCTACCTGCGGGACGCCAGCAGCCTGGTGCAATGCTCTCCCTCGACGAGCTACCTAGTGCCGCCATCGCGGCCGATACGCCGGAGAGGCGCGGCGGTGGAGACGCGCGCTGCCAAGGAGGTGCGCGGCTCAGTCGCCCGCCGCCTGCCCGCCGCCACGCTCCGCTTGCCTGCCCCCTCTGCAACTTCCACCCTGTCAGTACCAGCGTTGCAGTGCACACACACACACCACAGCAACCAGCAACCGGATAGTCTGCGGCTGCTGCAGGCTGGCCCACCCAAGCCCAACCCGCGGTTTAGCCGCAAGGACCTGAAGCGCATCAAGCAGCAGGGGCCCACCATGGCGGACCTGCAGGTGTGGTGTGTGGGCCTGCATGGCTGCCCACAGCTGCCCATGCCTTGTGCTACCCTCCTAGCACCCAGCAGCCTGCTTCAGGGAGCTACTGGCTTCCGGCGGACACCTGCCTGCGGCAGCACCTGCACCAAGCCCGCATCTCGTGCGCAGCTGGGCTGGCTGGGCTGGCAACCACCCACCCAGCTCCCCGCTGCCGCTGCCGCCTCCCCGCCGCTGCCTCCCCCCGCAGGCGCACTTTGAGGTGCCCTCCAAGGATGCCGAGGGGCAGGAGAGCAGCGCCAAGTTCGACTTTGTGCCCAAGGAGGTGCTGGGGCAGGGGGCAGGGTACGCGCCTGAGCCGCGGTGGGAGCGGCTGCCGCAGATGCCCTACATGGAGTTCTACCAGGTGAGGGGTGGCGCTGAGCTGGCGGCCCCGCTGAGCTGACGGACCCGCTGAGCTGGCACCTGCTGAGCGGTGGAGCGCCGCAAAGCAGGGCGCACCCGCTCCCACCACCACCCACACACGCCTCGCCTGCGCCCTGCGCCCTGCGCCCTGCGTGCCTCCAGGGCCTGCGGGAGCGCAACTGGACCACCAAGCACTACAACCCGGCGGCAGAGAAGTGGGACCTCCAGTTCTTCCAGGACAGGTGCGCCCCGGCAGCAGAGCGGTACACCTCGCTGCAGGGTGCGGCGCGGCAGCAGCGGCGGCGCCCGTCGGCAGGCGTTCTGGGTCGCTTGCACCCACGTCACGCGCTGCCTCCCGCCCTTGCCCGAACCACGCCTCTCCAACGT